ATGTTTTTATGATAGATCCAATTAGGAAATGACATTCATAACCCAGGAACAAAAAATGTGTTACATAGGCCCGCCCTTATATCTCAGGATGTGATTCCAGATTTTCTGGCAGTGGGCACTGATATAATCCATTTCAAGCCAGATAACCTTGGATCATATCCTGGGATATAAGGACTGTTTGGAAGGGCCTTAGTGTAATTAATAAAGAAATGCTTGTTTCTTTCAGCATTTAGCTCATGCTGTTAATTCACAGAAATCCATTATCCAGAGTGAATTATGTCCTTTAATGTTGGAAGGAGTTCGGCCTGCTCCTTTACCCACATTTGAGTTTGACCCAGTGATATCAGTGTGACTCTCTAATATCAGTGCCTTCCTTCCATTATTCCTTCCTTCCTACTATTCTCCTGTTCTTCTGTGTTTCCTCCCTTCTGTCTTTCTGTCCTTAAAAGAAAATTATTTCATTTTTTGTTTCATTCCTTCTTTTATTCCTTACCTTCTTCTGTCCTTTTTTCGCCTGGCTTCCTTTCATCACTCCATTCCTTTCCTTCTATCCTCCCTTTCATCATTTTTTCCTTCCTTTATTCTGTCCCTATATACCTTCCTTCCACCCATCTGTCTTTCTTTCTCTCCTTCCTTTCTTCCTTCCTTCTTTTCTTCCCTCCATCCATTTCTTGGTATTTCCATTTTCAACATGATCTATGAAGACAAATGAGGATAATGTTGGAGGTAAAAGAGGTTTCGGGCTTCATGTTTAACCTTTTGCTTCTACTTTCTTGACCAGGGACATGGGGGTTCTATGGAGCCACCCCTGGTTTGATGAGAAACAGCTTTTAGTAAATATTGAGGAATTTGGAAGCAAAAGTGCAGCAAAGAAACCAGTCCTATAGGAAAAAGAAATCCTCTCAAGGTGCTGATCTGGCTGAATTCTTAAATTCACTTTCGATCAGAAAGATCACAAAGGGAAAAACAAGTATCAAGTGTCCTTATTGTAGTTATATGTACACAACACTGTCATGGAGGACAGAGCTTATAAATGTATTGAATGTGGAAAGAGCTTTAGTCAGCATGGAAATCTGAAGAGACATCAAAGGACTCATACTGAAGAAAAATCCTATACATGCCTGGAGTGTGGAAAGAGCTTCACTCAGGGTGGAAACCTACGTTCACATCAACAGACTCACACTGGAGAGAAACCCTATAAATGTCTGGAGTGTGGCCAGAGCTTTACTCAGAGGGGAAATCTGCATTCACACCAAAGGACTCACACAGGGGAGAAACCCTATAAATGTCTGGAGTGTGGAATACGCTTCAGCTGTAATGAACATTTGCGTGTACATCAAAGGATTCACACTGGGGAGAAACCCTACAAATGCCTGGAGTGTGGACAGAGCTTCACTTCTACTGGAAATCTTCATTCACATCAAAACACTCACACTGGGGAGAAGCCATATAAATGCCTGGAG